TGTATCACAAAATGTCATCATGTGCTGCAGAGCAGAAAGGAAAAGACCAAAACTGGCTAAATATTTTACTTGATAAACTCCGTGCTTTGAAACAGAAAGAAGGGCAGTCAAGTTATCAAAGAAGACATGATCTTTATTCCAGGGGTGAATGACTAGGGAGAACTGTTGGTTGACTTCTTAGGGGATGTTCTTTCATTTGCTATGTGCAATTGTTGTTTCTACAAGGCCTTGTCTGAGCACAGGAAGGAAAGATGTCCTGGGAAGACAAAAATCCCAAAGGATTTTATTAACACATGGCAAAAAGAGGATAGTGATGCTGAAAGTTGAACTGCATGTGGCATTTGCCAGTGGACTTTGGTGTGTGTGCCCAGCCTGCCCTGGGATGAGGAGCACTGTGGGTTGTGCTCATGGGAGCTGTGGTGAGGTCACTGGCAGAAGATGGGAGACACCACCTCAAAACTGGGTTAATGGCAAGAAGACAAAGAAAGGGATTGTGCCCAGTGTCCAGAAAAGCATTTATCAAGTGTTTTTCAATTAATAGAGTAAGCCAAACCCCAGTTCCTGATGTTCAGTCGCTGGTTTGGTCTGTACATGGAAACTGTCTTCTTCTGTGCCAGCCTTTGCATTCCTGTGCCAGCATCACCCAGTCAGTCCTATCAGCATTCCCAGCTGGCAGGAAAAATGCACAGAAGTGTTTCAAACAGAGATTATCTGCTAAGATGGAAACATCCATCTGTCTCTCAGGTTGTCCATGCAGATCACTTGGTGCGGTACTGACCCTCGTGAAAACATCTGTGCTGAGCATTAGTTAACTTTCAAAAAAAAAAAAGAAGGCAATTTTGGAGTCATTCTGTAAATTTTTTTCACTCGAAAATTACTGTAATTGTAGTAATTTCCTTTTAATGATGTGTGTTACATCTCATTAGCAAAGCCATTTGCAGGGGCTCAGTTCTGCTGGCATTGGCACTGTCCTTGTATGGAACCACCCAGACGTGGGCTGTGCTGCTCCTGCAGAGCTCCTGTAGCTTTGCAGCTTCAGCCAGGGCTGCAGGTGAACCACCAGGCCTGCTTCCAACCAAAGGCAATTGCCCCCAGAAGAACACTGTGGGACTGGAATTGAAGTGGGTGGATAATTTTCTGCAGGCTGCTGTGTGCCTGAGCGAGTGGAGAGGAGCTGCAGATGACTTTTGGAGTGAGCTGCATTCTGCAGGGGACACATCCCTTCTTTGGCCAGTGGGAAAGTTCATCACAGATCAGATCTGTGGACCTGAAGGTCATTTTTCCTAACAGCCTAGGACTGAAAACTCAAGCCCATACCCACCTTCATTTAAATGAATAAAGCCAAGAGGACTGGGTGAAGGGTTCAGGGTAGAAGCCAATCCCTGTTCTTGCTGGCTCATGTATCTGCACACACTCACCCCCAAGAAAGAAGAAAAAATTAGAGTTATCATTTTTATTCACAGGCCACAATAAAATCCAATTTACTAGCCCATAGCTCTTTGGCACTTGCACAGTAAGTGGAGCTTAAAGCATTTTAGAACTCATAGAGTAATAAAAGTAAGTAATGAAATATATTCATAATATAGCTAGAAAATATATTCATAATATAGCTGGAAAATATATGAGCGTTCTCAGCCTCATGTAATTGAAAATGGATTTAGCAAACTCAGGCTCAGAACAGAGACCTTATTTTGTAGCTGCTTTAAGCTATTTGTATAGCTGAGTGAATTCCCAGAAACTCAGCCATCACATTTCCTTTACTTTGGACAATTTATGATCTCAGTTTGACTTTTCCCTGGGCTGTGTTAGGCTGATTGTGTGAGTTAGAAGGTGTAAAAGCTGCCTCTGGACTCCTCAGATTTTCATGATGGCAAACAGAGATAATAATAACATCCCAATTGGGGCTTTCTGATGTTCTCTGTTACACCCTTCTCTCTTCAGTCAGTTTTAACTTTGGTAACTCTGTCGGGCTGGTAATTTGCTTTGGTCTTTGCCTGTGACTGAATTATTTTGAAAAGCTAGAGTAAAATGGAGATTGCTCTCTCAGGAAGAAATGATGGCAAGAGAGCTGTGGCCTGATTATATCTTTTCTCAATCAATCAGTGCCAGTGGAGGCAATTTCTAGATGGTGGCACTCATCCTTGCTGCCAGCCAGGGCTTCACTTCAAGTGCTGTGTATACAGGGGAAGGGGTGAGTCGGTGAAAATAGGTTGTCTGCCTTTATTATGGTTGTCCAGATGAAAAAGTCACAAATATTTCTCTAGATCTTCAAAATGATGGAAACTTTATTTTATTTGGTGTGGAAGCTTAATTTTTCTATTATCCTTCCTAGGAAAAGTAGCTCCCTAAGGCTGAAAGGTTTCAGACAAGCTCCTACAGGGCAGAACATGAGTAAGGCTGAACAGTATGACTGATGCTGCTGCTTCTCTGGTACAGTGTCTGCTCGTCCATTTGGAGAATTTGTATCTCTTCAGCCCAGGAGCTTTCAGCAAAAAGCTGGTTTCTGGATGTCTTATCCATTCTCTACTGAGTGCAGACACTTGTGCTGTTAGAAAAATCTGTGACTGTCCTGATAAGGCTACTCCTGAGCACAGTGTCCCATCAGTTCTTATCACAGCACCCGCTGGTCGGTGGGCATGGCATCAGTAATGCTGTGGTCAATCCTCCTTGACCAGGATTTTCTACCAGTTTAATTTGAACTGGCAAATCCCAGCCCAGTCTGCTACTTCTTATCGCCTAAGTTCCCTGAAGGCATCCTTGCCTGCTGGGCTTCAGCAACCCGTGGCTCTCAGGCTGTTCCACAATTATAGATATGCAGCTCAAGGATTATCTCAGTACTTGGGAAGGCTTTTGCTTTGTGTGTTTGCAGACAAGTATTCCAGTTTGTATTAAATAACAATCAGCTTTAAGCTGACTGGTGCTTTGTGGTGGTGGTTGTTGGGGATGAAAGTCTCAAGCACTGCTCAGGAATAAAATTGGTACTTTTATTCAAATTCCAGCCAGGGGTCAAGGAGTTCTGTGGGGTTTTCAAACAATAAAAATGAAATAAAAGTCACTGTCATCTCCTTCTTCCTCTAGATCTTTGATTATCCAGTGTTACTTCGGGCTGATAAATGCCAACAAAAATTCAGTGCGTGTTGGTTTCCAGTGACCTGATCTGTCATGGCAGTTGGTGACTGGTCCCTGTTCTCTCTGGAGGATGTAAAATGAAAGAGACAAGTTATAAGATATAAACTAGACAAAGGAGAAAGATTTTTTTTTTCCTTAAACTTAGAAGCACCTTTGTGTCTTTCAGAGTTGAGCAAACTGTAAATTTGGGTCAAACTACTCTTCTGAAAAAAAAATTCACTTCACTTTACAGTTTTTCTTTCCCAGTAAGTTGATTTATGTGACTCTCCTGGGAATTTATTTCTGCCTGTCCTCTGTGTAGAAGGACAGTTTTGAGGGGAGCGAGTTCTTATTTAAGGTTTACAGATAGAGTGTTCCATATATAAAGAACTGTTTAGCCCTTGTGGGATAGAAATGCCATTACCTTTTTGATATTGGTGTTTGAAGACATCTCTTCATTGCCAGTCAGGATCAGAAGAAACCAAACCTTGATCTTGGCTAGGATATTGCTTAAATAGGAGCACTGGGTGAGGAAGCTTCTCATTCAGTTGTGCAGTACACAGAGATGGAGATGGGTGGTGTGGATGAGGCTCTTGCTCTGGACATAGTCTTTTTATCTCCTTTGGCAAAAGACTTTTACCACTGGATTAGTCTCCAGGTGACACTGGTGGGATGCTTCAAGAAGTAGGTACTTGCTGAAGTACAGATGCTTTAGTGTTCTGTAATGAGAAACAAAGCAAATCTGGGACTCATTTGCTGAGCTATACATTGGTATTCTGTACCCTTCCTGCTGCAAAGAGGTCACGTTTTGGGGAAGGAATGCAGAAAAACAATACAGGCAGCTGGAGTCTGTCTACAGCCATTGTGGTGCTCTGGATATGGTGCCCTCTTCACCCAGTGTTGCTGTAGACTTTGTTCTCCTGCTGTGTTCTTTTCATAATTGCCAATTAAATAGGCATCTTAGACTCAGTTTATCACTGGTCTAAATTTGTCTATGTCAGGCAAAGGAAACTGTTAGTATTTGGCAATGTTTTAGGAGCAGAAGACTTACTTACTTTGGGGAAGAGATATTGATGTGTATGTGGTGAGTTGGCTAATTTTGTCCTCTAGAATCATTTCCTGAAAAAGAAACAACAGGGTTTATAATTGATTAGATTAAATAATAAATGATACATTCTCCTACTGCAAAGTAGACAGCACTTCCAGTCTGAGCCTTCTGTGGGCATGAATGGAAAGAATTAAAATGATACGTGACCTGGGGTAGTTATTCCCCTCCAGGCACTGGTGCACACCAGAGCATGGTGTCAGCAGCTAGAACAAGAAACTAGAGGTAAATTAAAGCTTCTTTAAAGTTTCTTTTGTCTCTCTCCTCTTGCTTTATTGCTGAACTTTTCCAGGCTTTCTCACATCCAGCTGTGTGTCGGTCCACAGTGGACAGAGAAAGGCTCCAGATTTCTCAGCTGAGTGTAAGCTTTTGTCACCTTATCAGTCAAAGCTGTGAAAGAGTCCTCCTTATAGCCCCTTGTACATGGATTTGATAATTTCATTTCCTTTGTGGTCATCTAAGGAGGCTGTGGTAGACTCACTATTAAGTTTTAGGATGAAGTTTCCCAGTTTTTCCTCTTTAGATTTGAGTCATACTTTGGGTTAATAGTCCAATTAGTTGCCAATGGCTAGTGCATCCATAGCCAGGAGCATCTTCACTTGGCCCTGCCAGAGCTGTCAGGTCCCACCCTGAGGCCAGTGAGCTCTGCATTGTTTGAGGACCAGTTCTGCAGAAGCATTTGGAGATAATTTTGGTCTAAATCTTTAAATCTGAGCAGAACTCTTGATTTTCAGTCATGTCCCTCATTTTCCATGTTCCCTAATGGCACCTGTGTTGTTGTTTGCAGATGATGGAAAGCTGTCTCTGGAGGAGTTCCAGGCCTTTTTTTCTGATGGGACACTCAACGAAGAAGAACTCGAGAAGCTCTTTCATACCATTGACTCAGACAACACTAAGTAAGTTCCCTGTGCATTTCACAGATTACCATATTAGTGGGCAGCAGCAGTGATTCTCAGACCTGAGCTCTGCACAGGCTGCATGGCTTCGCAAAACTTTGCAAAATATGCATTTCTGCCTGGTTTGTGTCTCATCATGACAGCCACGATTTCTTTTCTCCTGGTGGGGTTTTTTCAGGCAATTTTCTTTAGTGCAACCTGATCTTTACAGCATCTGTAGTTATGCCTAATTTTACCCATGGGGGCATTTAAATGTCTCTTTAACTTTTTCACTTTATCTAAAAGCTTTGCTGTGCTTTAAAAGGCAACAGTTTGAATCTTTGTAAGCATAGTCCTATCCATCTAATTTCTTATCTGTGGTCTTGTCTCTTTGTGATGTCTCTGCATCCCCTGCACATGGACCATCTCTGCTTAATCTCCCACCCAAAATATCCCCTGGAAAGCAGTGATTGCTCTAGCACTTAATAGAAATGAGCCCATTTCTCATCAAGGTGAGGCTCAGACCAAGCTCTGTAGCCACTGTTGTGGATGCTTTGCCTCTGCTCTGGTCCCTGCAGCCTGAGGTGATTATTCTGCCTGCACAAGGCAGTGAGGGGATGGACCTAGGAGCAAAACTGCACTGTTTGCATCAAAGCTACAGCAGCAGCAGAGAAAAATGATGGCAGAGGAAGGCTCTAGGTGTGCTTTAGTTTGCCATTACATCAAAGTTGAAGTTAAATATAGCACCTGACTGCTCTCACTGAGAATCAAGCTTTTGCAGGCTGTGCTGAGCTATCAAACTAAGGTGACAGACTGGTTAGCAGCTGATGTTTCCTTCCCATCTGCCTTTGCCAGCTCTCTTTGTGCACCCTCTGCCTGCCTTTGCCTTTGTTGGGGTCTGAGGTGTTTGTGAGCCCCTTGAAAGTGTCTGGTGCTGGCAGAGTCTGGGATCAGCATGAAGCCACAGGGCCCAGTGGGAGCTCCTCTGCCAGCAGGTAATGGTGGCACTGGGCACCAGCACAAAGGACACAACCCACTGCTGGGTTTTCTTTTTCCAAGAGGAATCTGTCTACAAAAGCCTGAGTGGTTTTGGCTGTTTGAAAATGCAAATGAAAAGCAGCTCAAAATCACATCTCTCCAATGTGTTTGCTTCCCAAAGTTTATTCCAAGATCAGAAATACCAAAGACCAGCTTGATATTTACTGTCCTCTGAACCAAAGAAGCTTCAGTGATCGTGCTACTAAAACTAGCTAGGAATGATCCATCCCTGCTAATGTCTCCTCTTCAATAAGCACTAGGTGCTGCCTCATGCTTTGTCAGTCCATTTATTGAGCTCCAGATTATGCTCCCAGGTGGGATCTCAGTAGACTCTGGGATTTGGGTGCTCACCTGTTCTGAAATAATTTGTAGAATTGCCTGAGCTTCTCAACTGCCACCTGGCCTTTGAAAGGATGCAGACAGTTGATGTATAATCCAGGGCTCATGGGGATTAGGGTGGGGATGTTTCTTCTGGCCTTCTTGAAATGGGAAGTTGGATTGCAGTCCATTTTTGTGGGAATCTGCAGCTTGCTCCAGGCCTTAGTAAGGGTTGTCTTCTAAACTGGACAGAAAGAAAATGTGCCATTTCTAAATGTCATGCAACAGTGTTGTTGGCAGCGAGTCTTGCTGAGCAGTTCCCAAGCGTGACAAGAGCCCCACAATTCAGTAATATTTTTCTTTAGCCAAACAAGCTTCATACAGTCATCAATACCTGTTAGGGACTGATACTTGCGGAGAGCAGCATAGCATCTGCTGTTCTTGGCTGGAAGGAAAAGCAATGAGTTGGTCACCCTTCCAAGTTAAATCCTTGCATGAATTGGCACTTGCTTATTGATTTAGGAAACATAGACACCTACAGCAAATGTATCAAGTTGGAAAAGGAAACTATTCCTTGGTTTTTATCTGCAAGAGCTCTCACGGTCTTCAGAAAACCTGTTTCAGAGCTGGGCTTTGTTCTGCAAAAGTGTTTTTCCACTATGACATGAGTAGTTTGCTTGACTGCAGTCTTGCATCCAGTACAGTCTTTCAAGTCATGTGTGTGCTCTTCACCTTGCTCTGTCTTTTGTGCTCCACACAGTAAATCATCAGGTCTGTGGAAGCATGGGCAGGAGGGATGCTGCCTCCAGCATGCCCAGGCACTGGGGTTGCAATTTAAGTGCTGCTGCCTCCAAGTAAGAGGAGTGGAGTGGAGCTTTCATTTTTCCAGTTTACAGTGGAACATAGGAACAATATTAATTCCATCTTTCCCAAAGGCTGTTTGAATGACAGTTATTTGATAGAAGTTTATTTATTTTTAAAGCTGTTTTTTGATGCTCTGTTTTGTCTCTCTGTTTTTCTCATATTGGCCATCATGTTTGTTTAGTGTGCAAAACAAAGTTTGCTATTGAGATTACATTACAGACAGAGTAGAAAATGAAGAAAATTATGTTCCT